CATTGTGTGTGTGTGTGTGCATGGATGCTGGGATCTTCCCTACAATCACACTTTCTACTCCTCCTCCACTTCTTCTTTCTCCCTCCTCCCTCTCTCCATCTCTTCTTTTCCTCCTCTCCACTTCCTTCTCCCCTCCACTTCCTTCCTTCTCCCTCCACTTCCTTCCTTCTCCCCTCCTCACCTCTTCCTTCTCCCCTCCCCCCTCAAATTTCTCTTCCTTTTCCCTCACCCTCTTCTTTCCTCCTCCCCCTCAAATTTCTTCCTTTCCCCCTCACCCTCTCCTTCCTCTCCCTCCCTCACCCTCTCCTTCCTCCTCCCTCACCCTCTTCCTCCCTCCCTCCTCACCCTCTTCCTTCTCCCCCTCAAATTCTCTTCCTCTCCTCCCTCCCTCACTCCTCTTTTCCCCCTAAATTTCTTTCCTTCTCCCCACTTCCTCCTCATAAATTTCTTCCTCTCCCCCTCAAATTTCTTTCCTCCTCTCCCTCCCTCCTCAAATTTCCTTCCTCTCCCAAGGTTCTCCTCAAATTTCTCCTTCCTTTCCCCTCACCTCTCCTCCCTTCCTCTCCCTCCCTCACCCTCTCCTTCTCCCTCCTCCCTCACCTCTCTTCCTCTCCCCTCACCCTCCTCCTCCCTTCCTTTCCTCCCTCCTCACCCTCCCTTCCTCTCCCTCCCTCCTCACCCTCCCTTCCTCCCCTCAAATTACCTCCCTTCCTCTCCCTCAAATTCTCCCTTCCTCTCCCTCCCCAAATTTCCTTCTTCCTCCTCCCTCCCTCAAATTTCCTTCCCCAAATTCTCCCTTCCTCTCCCCTCCTCAAATTTCCTCCCTTCCTCTCCCTCAAATTTCCTCCCTTTCTCCCCTCAAATTCCTGACACCGGGCGGGCGCGCGAGGGAGCCATCTTCGCCCGCATCAGCACGGTGTATGAGGGAGTTGGAAGAGGAAGCAATACAGAGGAGAGTGCTCCCTCGCGCGCCCGCCGGGTGTCAGCAGGGCCAGCCTCTGGGGGGCCCTGAGGTGACCGGCTGCTGGGCCCCCCAGGAGAAGAGGCTGGCCCTGTGGGTGCATACCGGGTCGCAGGGCCCCCTGAAACCCGGTATGTACCCACTGAATGTGGGGCCCGGACGACCTGAACAGTCCGGGCCCCCCAGGACCGCCGGGCCCATGACAACCGTTACGGTTGTCATGCCCTGATGGCGGCCCTGATAACTCTACACAAGAATCCACTCATCATAGCCTGTTCTACATCTATCATGGACGTTACCCTATTGTTCTATCTACTTCCTTTTCCAAAATAGGAATGCCTGTTTTCGATCAGCAGCTAAATTCACAAAAAAATGATCTACCTCAAACTTTGCTCATTCCAAATATTTTTTATGTTTCATTGCTAAAAATTTTAATTTGTAATCATTATACCAAGTCTGGTCCTCCCACTCCTGTTACTGTGGGTTCATTCCATTGTCGACTATGAGGTTCATTCCATTGTCGACTCTCGTTATTCCCATAGTCCCTTAAAATATTTGATTCACTGAAAGGATTATGGTACTGAAGAGAAGTCCTGGGTTCCTGCTTCCGATGTACATGCTGCACGCCTGATCTGCTCCTTCCATGCCAGGTTTTCTTCCAGACTGGGTCCTGTCTGCCTGGTGTGTGATCTTTGAGTAGGGTACCGTCACGCCGCTGACCACATGCCCACGCCCGATTGATATGACCGTGTGTCATATGCGCAGACGCAATACATAGAACATAAATATACTCATCTCAATCCAGGTCTCCCTCTGCTCTCCACGCTACATGGCTGATGATTGCGCTGGCATTCCAACAAATGCCAGACACTTCCAAAGGCCACAGTTTAAATGCGCTGCCTCCATTAATGATGCTGGTGTCACGGACGCACAGATGTGTGTCATTACGTCACTGACGTGCACGCACATTTTGACATCACCAGGTCCAATTGACCAATTAGAGCCCTCCTAGGGCTATTTAAACTAACTTATTCATTTGTTTGATGCCCTGTCATGGTTTCCACTTGGTTGCTTAATCCGAGAGCGAGTTTATATTACTGTATCTTATGGCTTTATTGACCTTGGCATTTCCTTGACTATTCTTTCTTGTGATTTTCCTTGACCTGTGGCTATTCTATATTGTTTATTCTGATTTCTAATATCGCTGACCTTGGCTTGTCTTGTATCATTCTATTTAGTGTTTAGTCAGGCCATTCTACGGTCTGGTAAGACACATCCTTTCTAATTTTTTGTATTTACCTTATTTAACTTTGCTAGTTGGATCTTATCTGTCCGTGACAACATGTCAGCCTTTCCTGAGCTTTAGCTCATTTTAAAATAATATCTGTTCTTTTTTTATTTTCTACAGTTTAAGTCACTGAATCAATTTTCGAAACAAAACTCCACAAACATAATCTATGTTAATCTATAAAAATCTATATTAATAAATACAAATATTAAATATATATATATATATATCATAATTATTCACTGTTGATATATAGAATATAGTTCCCACTCATCCACAGAGCAGTTTCTCATATGCCCCAAATTTCTCAATGTCATATAAGATCTGGCTGGAAATTCAGCTCTCTGCTGTGTTCAAGTTGTGATGCCTGGACAACCTGTGGACGTGGGCAAATGCAGGCAGGGTGAATTTGCAGTGTGATGCCCCTTTCTGCCATGGGACTCTTACAGCTGCTGCTAATTGCTCCATTTTTACTACAGAAATAAATAAATCACACTAGTTAGTGAAAGAGAATGCAGCATTTATGAAGTATATGTGTGTGTGTGTATGTGTGTGTGTGTGTGTGTGTGTGTGTATGTGTATATGTGTGTGTGTATTCCTCTTTATTGTTTCTGGCAATTACCCAACTAACAAGACTGCCACTTGGTTTTGTTTTTCTTTAATAATTATTCTTTTGACGCTTAAGCAGCACTACTGCATTCTATGTTGCCAACGGGGAATCATCAATGCTGAACAAACAACATGTATATGCCTAATTGTTTTTATTGAAATAAACACTTTATGTAACCCCCTGCCGTTAAGTGGATATGTGCTTGGTTAGCTAAGATTTTC